AATGATACTTCTCCTCCTCCATTTGGTGTTAGAGTTGGATTGGAAGTGATCTCTTATGTTGGAGTGTGTCTTTCATTGGTTGGACTGATCTTAACAATCCTAACATTGCTGGTATTCAAGTATGTGTACATGTCAGTCCTAATTGATATTTAAAGGTATCTTTAACAATAGAAAATTAAGAAAGAAAGATTCCAGCAAGTTTCACATTCAGCTATGTCTCTCATTGTGCTTTGTGCTGATTATATTTGTGACTGGAATTAGTAGAACATCAGTGAGGCCACTTTGTATAAGCATAGGAACTCTTATACATTACTTCACTCTTGTTTTCTGGATGTGGATGGGAGCAGAAGCTGTGCTGATGTTCCAAAAAATTATAATTGTGTTTACAAATATAACTTGGCGATATATATTAATAGTGTCTATTGTTTGTTGGAGTAAGTAATGATAGTAATGGATACAATAATAATACTTTATATTTAGCTATACCTGTTGTTCCAGTTGTGATCTTATTGGCAGTTGATAATGGCTACTACATTACAATTACAAAAAATTCAGAATTGTGAGTGCTGAATAATCTTAATTTATTATGACAGTTAATTATTCCCAATATAGTTGTTTCATTGGTAAAACAATACCATTATTAGCAGCATTCTTGTTACCCATTTTCCTCATCATCATCATTAATACAATTGTGTTCATACTTGTCATTCGAATTACTCTTAAAATTGTCATTGATAAAAAGAAGCGGATGAGTAATTCCTCTCTCTCTGTATCAGAAGTACTAAAGATATTACTGTCTTTCACTAGTATCATGATCCTCTTTGGTTTAACGTGGACATCTGCTGCCTTCACTTTGATATCTGAGCCTAGTGTATCTTATACAGTCCAGTTTATATTTGCATTTTGTAATGCATTTCAAGGCTTGTTTATTTTTATATTTTTTGTTTTGCTCAACAAGGAAAATAGGAAATTTTGGAAGGTTTGTTTTGTTCAGTGTTTCCCTAGGGCTACTATTCACAGTGACTACAAGTCTAGACAATGTACCAAGAGCAAGTCAAAAGATGAGGATAATATTTCAAATGATGTATCTCGAGACCTCAATGATATAAATAAAGAGGAGATGAAAGATGCTTCACTATAAGCTGAAACATTTTTTGTAGTCATTAGCTTGATATAATAGGCAGTTTAGTATTTGTTAGTAAAACAATTTCCCTCATTAACTGACAATTCAATTGCATTACTCAGTGATGGGAGATTTCAGATTTGAAATGCTAGGAGCTTGGGATCTCAGCATCATAAAAATAAAAAATAACTTTGGAACAACTTGACAATTAACTGATGAAAAAACTGCATGTGAGCACTCTGCAAAACCCTGATGCTGTACTATATAATTCACTCAAATCTTTTTCTATAGATTTCATATCAAAAAAAGTCATTTACTACCCACTCCTGATGTGGTGTGCATGTGTATGAGCATACTGTACATATGATGTACATGTAAAGATGTCCTTATGTAAATCATTAACAATGCTTGATCCTCTTCTACTCAATGAATCCTCAGTTTTTCCTGCATGCTTGTATGTATATGTACACCATCATTCATTATACATTGTAAAAACCTAAAATGACATACCCAGGCATGGAATGAGTTGGTTGTAGCATATCTCTGTAATTGGTTTAACACCTAATGTGCAATTTACACTTTACTTGCATTTCAAGTTCCTCTACTATTCTCATATACTGCAGTTAATAATCTAGTGCCATAGTGCCTATTACACTAGATTATTAAGTCAGGTGTGTATAACTTGCTGTAGCATGCCCTTGTCATCTTGTTAACACCTATATTGTGCAATATATACTATATTTTCTGTCAAACTGTCAGTCTGTCACTGTAACTGATTAGGAACAGTAAGTCTGTATAACTAACTTATTATAGTTTAAATGTCTGTCCAGAGTATTATCAGTTTTTATGCCTCGTGTTGGGACCCAAACACTGATTATTATGCAACATATATACACAAACAGTTAATGAATGTTTACGAGTTCTGTGACATCACATGATAGAAATAGAGTATTATTTAAATTTCTCAATTTTAGTTTTAGGACAATTGTCACTCTTGCATTGATATCATTATACATCTTACATCAGCTGATTGTGTTAACTTAATAAGTAAATAATTAGTGACAACTTTCAGTAGAATTGTAGTGATATTATAATTAACAGATTTATAATAATAATAATAATGATATTCATAATTAACAGATTTATCATTATCATTTCCTGTATACTCTGCTATAAATCCTACATCCTCTGCACTACATCTACAAATCACGAGGCGCTTGCTGCATGCACTTGGTACTTCCATTTCCTGTCTTGGATTAACCAGTAACAATGCTGTTACTTTTACTGCTTTTCTCTCTTCTTTTTGCTGGTGGTAGCTCAGACATTGCTACATTGCAGTTTGAGCTTTCGACAAACTGTATTGCTGGGGCTCCTATTGGAACTCTATGGGTGAAAACAGTTGGAGGAAACTTTGACTACTTAATGACTTACTACAGTATGTTAAGGCCACTATACACCAGGCAATTCTATTGCAGGCAATCTGTGGTTACTTTGATGTTGTAAGCAATGTGTTGCCTAGAATAGAACATGTTTCTATTCTAGGCAACAGTGTTGTCTGAAGATCAAAGTAACCACAGATTGCCTGGTGTATAGGAGCCTTTATATCATATGACTCACTGTATGATATGGCAGTGACTATTAGAGTAAAGTATAATAAGAGCTAAATTATTCTGTTTTATTTTATATCATCATATAGGTCCTAAAACTAAAATAACACATATCAGCACTAAAGTTAGTATTGCTCATCCAATAACCTTGTACTTTCATTGGATTGAGTGTATCCATAGTAATAGTTTTTGTTCTACAAAAATTGGTTCTGTGACAATTCAAAATGCTAATCCTATCTCAGTTGGTCTATGTAGAATTTCAAGAGGACTAGATCTATCAAGTACTCTGATTACATTTGATAAAAGTGGTGGAATTCATGTGTCAACCTCAACCAAACATTGTGGATTAAATGGACCAATTTGCTCCAATTCTTCAAAATGTTGCTTACCTTTGACTTTGTCTTCCTCATTATCTTCATCTTCATCATTATCT